TTTTGCGGAACCGGGGATTGAACTCAGGCCCTTGTGCTTGCCAGGGAAGCACTTATTCCCAGGGAAGCACTTATTCCACTGAGCCATCTCCCCGGCCCTGGCTTCTATATATTTTAAGAGATGCTGTTAAGTTTTATTAGTGTGATAGCTGTTAAATAACATTTTACCCACTGGAACATAGTAGACTACATAATTTTAATTCATGGATACTTTTTTCTAAAGTCATTTCATTTTATAACTTCATATTTCAGAACAAAAGACCTACTTGTGATTGTCAAAATGTTTACATATTCATTACAGATTCATCCAAAAAGGAGGGAAAAAAAAATCTCAACATGGTATTCATCCCTGTAAATCCAAAACCGTCTATACAACATTACCCACGTCAAGGCCTCGTGTTCATCTGCAATTTTTTAAATGCTATGTGTGCAAAATGCCTGACCTTTCCTGAGTGGGGGCGCCGCAGACCACAGCCCCGAGTATCTACTGCCCTCATGCTTAGTCTGGTACTTTTTATCCCCAAAGAACTTCGGCCACAAATTCAGCAGCCATTGCTTCCTAGAGAGGGGACAGGCAGGGGAGAGGGGAGGGGAGGGATGTCAGTTACCTGCATCAGCTTTCTGGAGAGCTCGTTGGTGAGGAACTCTTCCTCCTTCTCATAATTCACTGCAAGAGTCTCCTTCTCCTTCTGCAAAGCCTGGATTTTCTTGAATAACGTGTTACTGATAAACTCTTCTTCTTGCTCAGCCCTGGCTTGCTGTTTTAAAAAAGAACAAAACAAAAACACATGGTAAGCAAACAGGAAATTCACTAATTGCAATATAGTTCTTATGTACAAAGAATATGCCTATTTTAATTAGCACTCTATTTTTAACTGCAAACCACCATTCCTAGAAAAGCACAAAACAGAGAAGCTCATCCGAGGCCCAAAGAGCAAATGCAGCCGCTGCCCCACAGGCCTCTGGGCGCCACATCCAGTCTGTCTTCCGAGCACACATCACCCCTCAGGATGCTGCTAACGGGAGGCGTGGGCACACACACACACACACACACACACACACACACACGTGTCTGCTACGACAAGGTGGGGAAGCTGGGGGGCAGGCAGCAAGGGAGAAGGAGACAGCTGCCCTTTTACTTTATTTTCCTACTGGCATTATTTTTAGGGGGAGGCAAAGCGGGCAATGGCAAGAACAGGCCTTACTTTACTGAATTAGAAGATAAAATCGCAGACGCTAAAGGGCTCTCGTATCATGCAACAGAGAGGACCCTGTCTTGTAGGTGCCCACGTCCTTCCCCACAGAAATGTTAATGAACAACCATCTTGAAAGAAACTCTGCTTTTCAGAAAGAAATGATTGCAACTCTACCCAAAACACTTTTTAAATTTCAACACACATTTATATGGAACAACACGCTCCCGTTTTATCCGCCAAGCAGAGGGCAGAGGTACACGAATTCCAAGTCTCTGGCACCTGTCACTTGTAATAACATATGACAGCCAGGACAGTAAGCCAAGGGGCACCCACAAGAAACAATGACCATGGGGACCCTAAAAGGATCCAAGCACCGGGCCGGGTAGATGGCTCAGTGGAATAAGTGCTTCCCTGGCAAGCGCAAGGGCCTGCATCCAATCCCTGGTTCCACAAAAAAAAAGGATCCAAGCACCACTCTGGCTCCAGTGGCACATGCTTGGCACCTACATCTGCACCTTGACGCCCAGTTTCTGTGTCATGACTTCCCAGCTCGCTGTCAAGGAGCCCTAGAGAAAGCACTGGGCCTGACCTGCTCGCTCAGCACTCCTATAACGGACAGCCACAAGGAAAGTTGCACAGCAGTTTAGGAAAGTGCTCAGCAGTCCGGGTCCTCAAAGCGCCACCTGAGGCGGTCCAGCAGCGCTGAGGGGCAAAGGACACACAGTCACCTGACAACGTCACTTGACCTCTCCGGGCACCCAGCGAGCGGTCCCTGGCTCTCGGGGACAATCTCTGGTTCTTGGGGACAGCCTCCACGTCTCTAGTGCACCAACAACACCCCACAGCACTCCCATGCTGTCAAGAAGTGGGCTCCCCCTGGCCCTGTGAATCAACCCCACGCTGCCCCCAGCCTCCAGCCTCCCAGTTGTCCAAACCCCTGTATTAGCACAACAAGCAGCAGTCCGCGGCTCCTAAGGGAGGCATTCGTGATACCAGCATTCTAAGCTACCCCAGTCGTGACTACCAAGTTCTCGCTGTACGTGGCTTGAACTCTGATCCTGAAAGTTACAGAAGAGAGAAGGTGAGAGGAACTATAACGCTTCTGCTGGTGATTGGGGACTTCGCATTCAGAAGGATGTTTGTCATAAATGAAGGTCCATCATCAGGCCAGACTCAAGTACTTGCACATTACTATGCATTTAATGTTTTACGTGATGGGTACGTTTAGTCACGAGCAGCTAAGGGACTGGCCTCGGAAGCTCAGGAGGCAACCTTCCCCGTGGCAGAGAGGCCTGTGAGTGAGAAGCCCACAATCAAGGCCAACAATTCATCCCTGTGGCAGGAAAAGTGTACCCTAAGAGTTCAGCTCTGCTCTTCCATCTCACCATTAAGTTACAGAGACAAATTCTGGTATCATAGGAAAAAAACACATGAAGGGAGAAACCAGCGGTTGCTGAGAGGAATGAGGACGGCGTGCTTACGGGTACAGGCTTCTACAAGGGGGCGGGGGGAAGGTCCCGACAGGAGGGATGGGATAGCTTACACAACCTGCTAGACATACTAGAAAGCAGTGGTCTGCACTACACGCAAAAGGGCGTGCGCTTTACAGCGTGGCCGTTGCAGTCTGCGGAGTGTCCTGCCTGCCGAAAAGGCGCTCTGGGAATGAGCAGGGTGTACACCTCGCAACCTCAGGTCTTTCGTAATTCTCCCCAAGGAGAGCAGCAAGCTTGGACGACGACGTGGGCAGGGAGATGCAAAGAGGTAGCGGGCAGCAAATAAAACAACGCACTACTTTACAATAGCCACTTACTTCTAGGCAAGGCCCTGCGCGGACAGTCCCACTCTCAGGACTCCTGGACAGACAGGAGGAACTGTCCTGCTGCAGACTAACTCGAGAAGGTGTTAGTGACCCATGGCACTCCACGGCTGAGTTTTCATCTCTAGTTCTAAGTCCTGAATGGGAGCAACCCAGCTGCTACACATCATCTCAGGAATGAACACAAAAATGAAGACAAAAGACAAGCTGCTGTAGCCAACAAACTCTCAGGGAGCTCGCAGATCACATACAGCTCATACTGATATTGTGGGCAAACCTGGCTATCAGGACAAGCCATGCATCATGCAGAAGCCCCGAATACTCCCCGGATTTCTGCCGTTAGTTTTTCCCCGTGTATTCTGTTGTCTTTAGTCTTGATTTTTAATTCCCAGTCTTTAAAGAGGCCTTTAAACAACCACCTTTCCAGTATAATCCCCCAAAAGCAGCCAGGAAGGAACCCAAGCAACACAGCAGCTCCAGGCACCGTTTCTAAAATGCAAACCCCAGCTGCCACCAGATGGACAGAGCAGCCCAGTCATAGGATTTACTGGCCTGTTTTCCCTTTTACCTGAAAGGCAGAAGAATCTCAGCATTCCTAAATACATCAGAGTAAATTCAACCTGCATTTCAAAAGCTAAGTAAATAAATCACGGTTTAAAAGCATGAGCAACTCTGAACGAAGCAGCCTTTTGTTACTGCTTTGTATACACACAATTGAAGATGAAGATTTGAGAAATGCAGGGAAAACTGAAAACTCTTTAATTGTATTTTTGTGTTCAACACGCTTCCAAGGAAATTTAGAAACGAGTACAAACTAAACTTACTCACTTTTACTGCTGCTGTTTAACACACTCCCCCACCCCACCTGGCAGCAATCTCTAGTGTCTATTGATGTGAAGCCCACACTATTAAAAAAAAAAAAAGTAAAATTTTAAGAAGTTGGAAAAGTCAGAGTCACCAGGGTAAACTGACCAAGTCCTCTGAGGAGAAAAAAAAAAAAAAAAAGACAAGTAGAAATATTTTTCCTGAGTTACATAAATTTAGTTTCTATGGATAAGTCAACAGCCTGCTCTGAGTCAGTGTCAGCGGGAACAGGGCACCAACTCGCAGATTCTGCTTTGACTGCTCGGTATCTCTGGTGCATTGAACGCCGGCACTGTGGAGGGCTGGCGCAAAGGTGAGAATTCCAAACCTCCACAACGGCAGCCGGAGCAGACAAGAACATGCGAACGGCTAAAGCAGAATCATGTAGGATGATCACGATCTGTCAAGCATGAGACTAAAACATTAAAAATAAATGTTAAAAAAAAAAAGTTTCCAAAGCAAGAAATGACAAGTAAATACCTATGTAAACTATGAGTGGTGGTGCACGCCTATAATCCCAGCAATCCGAAGGCTGAGGCAGGAGGAATTCTTGCAAGTTCAAAACCAGCCTGGGCTACAAAGTGAGCTCAAGGCCAGCCTGAGCTGCACAGCGAGACCCTGTCTCCAAAGGAAGAAAAAAAAAGCCACACCCCCCAAATACCTATTTAGTAGTAGCTGGGGGGAAGCTATAATCAGGAGAAAGTTCAAGTGACCATCAAGAGAACACTCACATGGCTTAATACTACTTTTAAATTGGTTGATGATTTGTTTTAGTAACAAAGAGTCATAAAACTAAGACATCGTAAAGCTACAATGGTTAAGGATCCAGTAAGCGCCTTTTTAATTTTTTCTCCTAGGCAGGGTCTCATCTGTAGCAAAACCTGGTCTCGAACTCACTACGTATCCCAGGTGGGCCTGGAACTCATGGTCCTCCTGCCTCACCCCAGAAAGCACTGGAATGACAGGAGGCATGCAACCCTCCACTAAGCCCCTTTATTATTCTAACTGCTTAAATTTGAGAGCATATTTAATACACTAATTATTTTAATTTACCTATCTGTAGTTTTTGTGGTTTTACTGAAGCACAAATAAACACAGGCCATCTACTGGCTTTCTTCGCTGCACAGCCTGAGACTGGGATTGGTGACCCGGATGGCCGGCTGGGCTGTCTTTCCACGATGGCCTTGCGGTTCACAGAGGAGACGTTGTGAGCAATCTGCACAGTAAGACTTGTTGCACCTCCAGCTCCTTAACATTGTGCACCAAGAACTTCCAGAAGCCGCTGGGCAGCATGTGCTCGGTCTCTCTGTGACTTTCATAACCTACGTTGGGCATCAGGATCTGGCCCTCGAGCCTCCTCCGCAACCCTGCTGTCGATGCCTCTGGACATCACCAGGTGCACTTAATTCTGACACATCAGTCTGTCTGACTGGTGCCGGAAGAACTTTCTGGTCCTCTTACTGACGATCTTGGGCTTCACGAGGGGTCTGAGGGCCACCATGGTGCCAAGTGGGAGATGGCTGCATGCTAATTATTTTAGCATACTATTCTCTTGCCTGCTCATTTATCACCTAAATTTTAATGATCTTAAAACCATGAGATGGCGTCTGAAACCATATTGCTAGAATAAGAAGCACCAGCACCCTAGCCCGGCAACTACATCAGACTCTCTTCTCTCCAAACTGCCTCTCACCAGGAGCAATGCCACACAGAGCAGTTGTTCTGGAAGATGCTCAGGGTTTATTTAACCGACTCTCTCCTGGCTGACGGCTGGCAGCTCTGACATAATCAAGTACCAGACATACCAGCAGGTTCCCAAGACAACCACTGCTCTGCAGAAATTATTAGCATTTAAGCATTAATATGGCAGGGATAGTAGCAG